AAACATGATCATGCAATTGTACTTAAACAGGGAACACAACCAGTAAACCTTAGACCTTATAGATTTGCTCATCATCACAAGGCTGAAGTTGAGAAACAGATTGCTGAAATGTTGTCCTCTTCTATTATTCAGGTGAGTAAAAGTCCTTTTGCTTCTCCATGTTTACTTATTAAGAAGAAAGATGGAACTTGGAGATTTTGTGTGGATTATAGGAAACTTAATTCTGCTACAGTTAAAAATAAGTTTCCTATTCCTATAGTGGAAGATTTGTTAGATGAATTGAATGGGGCTGCTTTCTTTTCAAAAATTGATTTGACATCTGGATATTGGCAAAATAGAATCAAGGAGGAAGATATTTACAAGACTGCTTTTAGGACTCATCAAGGACACTATGAATTTAAAGTAATGCCTTTTGGCCTTACTAATGCTCCAACTACTTTTCATGCTTTAATGAATGATTTGTTTGGAGCATACTTAAGGAAGTTTGTTCTTGTATTTTTTGATGATATATTGGTTTACAGTCCTAGCTTGGCAGAGCATAAACAACATCTAAGAACTGTGTTGAAGGTGCTGTTGAAAAACAAGTTATATGCTAAAAGGAGTAAGTGCTTCTTTGGACAGCAGCAAGTGGAATATCTAGGGCATTTAATATCAGCTGATGGGGTGGCAACAAATCCTACCAAAATTAAAGCCATGAAGCAGTGGCCTTTACCTAAAAATCTGAAAGCTTTAAGAGGATTTTTGGGTTTAACTGGATATTACAGAAAATTCATCAGAGGATATGGGAATCTGAGTAAGCCCTTAACCAATACGTTGAAAAAGGATGGGTTTTATTGGTCTCAAGAAGCTATAACAGCTTTTGAAAAGCTGAAGGAAGTTATGTGCAATGCTCCAGTTTTGGCTTTGCCTAATTTTGAGCAGAATTGTTTTTTGGAAACTGATGCTAGTTCCAAAGGGATTGGAGTTGTTCTTTCTCAAGCAGGAAGACCTATAGCCTATTTGAGTAAAGCTTTGGGTCCTAAGCATGAAGATCTTTCAATCTATAAGAAGGAGTATTTGGCCATTTTGATGGCAGTTTCTCATTGGAGGCATTATCTAGAGAGTGGTTCTTTTGTCATTAAAACAGACCATGAGCCCTTAAAACATCTACTTGAATAGAAATTAACTACAACTATCCAGAAGAAGGGGACTTACAAAGTTATTGGGGTTGGATTATATTATTCAGTACAGGAAGGGTAAGTCTAACAAAGCTGCATATGCACTCTCTAGACAACAAATGGATTCTGGTGAATTTGTTCAAATAGGAGTTACTGTTATAACTCTTACTTGGGTCCATGATATTGAAAAGAGTTATGAAGAAGATGATATAGCTCAAGAGAAAATACCTATTCTGGTTATTAATCCAGATCAACTACAGGACTGGAAATTAATGAAAGGAGTCTTGTATTTCAGAAATAGGACTTATATGGGCATAAAAGGGGATCTTAGACAGAATATAATTGTGGCTTTGCATGATTCACCACAAGGAGGTCACTCAGGTATTCAAGCTACTTATCAGAAAATTAAGTCTTATTTTTTATGGCCAAGAATGAAAAAGTTTTAATTCAAGAGCATATACAACAGTGTGATGTGTGTCAGAGGACTAAAACATAACATATTTCTAAGCCAGGCTTGTTACAACCTATTCCAGTCCCAACAATGCTTGGGAAGTGATTACAATGGACTTCATTGAAGGTTTGCCATCTTCAACAAAGTATAATTGCATTCTGGTGGTGATTAATAAATTCACTAAGTATGCTCATTTTATGCCATTATCTCATCCCTATACAGTACTGGAAGTTGCTATAGTTTATCTTGATCAGGTTTATAAGTTATATGGTCCTCCTAAAGTGGCTATTTCTGATAGGGATAAGTCTTTCACTAGTCTGTTTTGGCAAGAATTAATGAAGCAATTGGGTTTTACTACATTAATTTAGTACTGCCTATCATCCTGAGACAGATGGCCAAACAGAGAGATTGAATCAATGTTTAGAGCAGTATTTGAGGAGTATGTGTTTTTTAAAACCTAAGACTTGGTTTAAATGGTTACCTATGGCTGAGTGGTGGTACAATACTAATTACCACTATGCTCTACAGATGACACCATTTGAAGCTTTATATGTATATAAAGCCCCTACTGTGACATGGACAACAGACTCTAGGGTGGAGGCAGTGCAGGATGTCATGCAACACAGAGAACAATTCAATTAATTATTGAGAGAGCAATTACTTAAAGCTACCAATAGAATGAAGCAGATGAGTGACAAACATAGAACAGATAGGGAGTTTCAAATTGGCGATGAAGTTTACCTGAAACTCCAGCCATACAGATAAATATCTTTGGCCCTGAGAAGAAATTTGAAGCTTGCTGCCCGTTATTTTGGACCCTACAAAATTCAAAATAGAATTGGTAAGGTTGCTTATAAATTAGAACTGCCTGCAAATTCGAAGATACATCCAGTCTTCCACGTAAGTTTACTGAAGAAGAAAGTAGGAAGAAAAGGACTTATCTCGATCGATCTTCCTGAGGTAGCGTCGGATGGACAACTGAAGATTTATCCAGCCCTTGTTTTGGATCAACGAGTGATTACAAGGCAGAATCGAGCAATCATTCAATTGCTCATTCAGTGGACGAATATGGGACCAACAGAAGCAACTTGGGAGGATTATACGGTTTTGCGATAACAATTTCCTCAATTCGATCCTTGGGGACAAGAATATTTTGGAGAAGGGGGTATTGTTATGATGGCAGGGAAGTTAGGGTTTGATCGCGGTGATTTGGGGGAAATTTTGAAGAGAGGATTGGGAGGCATCAACAACAATTGGAGGAAGAATCGAATGACATTAGGGATTGGAAAGGGGGCTAGGGATTGATGTTATATTTGAGATTGGGAATCGAAGGAAGATTAGGGGAGCGACTAAGGTTTATGAGGAGTGTTATTGGGTTTATTATGATAACCCAATATTAATTAATGTTAGGCTTATAAGTTGGGCTCGAGTCTGTTAGAAGAATCTTAGGAGAGAAGTGAGTATGGTGAGTCAGCATAGGTTGGTTATTTTGTTAGAGATTCTGTTTTGACAGCTGGTACTATATATATATAAATTTGTACCGAACCTTTAAGGGATTATCTGATGAATGAAGCACATTTTCTGTATCTTAAATTCTCTCTTTCTGAAATCACTAAATTTCTTCTATTTTCTCATCCTAAATCATAACAGCTCGACACAAACTAAGTTAGGATTCTTCCTTAATTTTAAATCTAAAAAATTTAGGGATTATTTTTGTAAAATGTTATTCCTTGAGAGACCAAAGGCTAAATCAGCTTTGAAGGCTTAAAATTGCAATTTTGAATGAATCCAAACCCAAGGGATCAATCCTTTCCCCCAAGGGATTGATCATTCATGTAATGGCATCATTTCTTTTCAACACGATTGCTATTGAACCGGTCCAATGATTCCAAAGACTGATCCTTTCTATAAGTACATGCAAAATTGAGTTAGAACATGCATAATTAAGCCACTAATTCAACTCCTAATTGTTTCTAATATTAAGGATCATACATAAACATACTTGTAATATTAAAATCATGTTGTTACGTAATCAAAACATGCTTCACATCAACCAAACAACAATCAAACATACTTGTGAATCAAGATTTATCTAATTGGCCATTTTAGTTACTTTTTTTTTTATAGAAGATGAGGCCTCGTAAAAACCCCTTTTTTTACCCTCCATGTTATAAAAGTAACATGAAGGGCATTGAAAGGAGGAAAAGAGCGCCTATAATTATATTAAACAGAAGAATAGTACATTGCCAACCCTTACAACAAACAAAACTTCCCAAAAAGCATAAGACTTAAAAACCACTATCAGCTGGACAGCGTAGTCACTAATAACATAAGACTGAGAACCAAAATCTACAGTAACAAAGTGAAACATACACACCAACTCCCCAAACACTAAGGCAGCAAATCAACCTATACCATCTTTAGCTAATCTGTCCGCTTCCCAATTAGCAGCCCTCAAGATAAGCCTTAACGTAATGTCCAACCCTTCCATAGTAGAGACTATCTCCTTCACCAATGATTAGAATAAAGGGGTGCTTAATTCTGGATTTTTGATCCACTTCAGCGCGTTGGAAGAATCTGATTCTAAGATAATCCTCTGATTAAGAACCCCACCTGAATCAATAAGCAAACCCAACCCCCTCTTAATCGCCAGAAGTTCTGCCATAATCGGGGGACCTCCCCCAACATTTTCAGCAAACCAATTTGATTAAAAGACCAACTCACACAACAACATACTTTTCATACATTATCTATATATGGCAAGACACAATCCTAAAACTTGGCTTCACCTAATTAAACATACTTGTAACAAGGAATATACTTGACAAACACCATTCTTATAATGCATCATTCAACATCATCTATCCAACAATCAACACAAATCCATCAAAAAAATTCAAAGCATAATTGAACAAAACATTTTGAGATTGATCAACACTTCATCAAAGAAAACCTGAATACATGTTCTTTAAAATTGGTCGATATGACATCAGACAAATCGTTAAGTTCACACCTTCACCAAATGAGTTAATAAAACTTACCACAATCTGAGCTAAAAGTTGAGAATGTGTAATACCTTTGCACCAACTTCAGAGAGACCAATGTGTGATATCTTTACACCAACTCGAGGAAAGTGTTAATAGATATACTTACTCATATAAATACTCATTGTATTCCTGAATGCTAAATGCAATTAAGAAGAAATTTGTCATATTTTTTGCTCTCTTTCTCAAAATAAAATTAACAACCCACAACGTTTAGATTAGTGATTTCACACCATAAACATTAATTCACAGTTACTAAACAAATGCAAGCCACACGTAAATTTCAAAAGGTAAAGGTTAAAAATTATATAGCCTTGTTTTTTAATTACCTAAAACAAGATTCAGGAATTTATGTACTCAGCAGATAAAGGATATTGGATTTTTCAACGCTTTATGACGTTCTTCCATTTTTGAAGATTTTGGTCATGGTGCCTTTACTGACAGTGACCGCACAAGGATTTTTAGGAACTACACCATATCTATCCCCACAGACCCAAGACCAAAAATAATAATCAAAGATTAGAAAGCTGACAGTGGCTAGCAATCTCAGTGGTGCCTTGTTTGAGGCCATCCTAATCCCGCATTACCAATGTTCCCGATCAGCTGTAATGGTTCTGTCAAGCCCTTTGTGGTGCTACCAAGAGCCTCCCCCTGCATACAATTTAAATTTCAAAATTATATGGCTTTGTATACATGAAGAAAATGTCAAATGTGATTGAAAAAGCAATTTTCTCTAATGTCTTGATCCTTTTTTTTTCTTTAAAAAAATAATCATTTCATCCAATCAACATGTGTAATTAGTAGCAGAGTCATATCTGATAAGAATGATCTAGGATAATGGGTTTACTCACCTCCTTCCAACCCATGCCTTCTAGAATCCGTCTGGCATAACTACCTTCCCCAAACGACTTGTTCAAGGCTTCAGATTTGGCATCTTCTAAACAAGTAGGATCACTGTCATGTTCAGTTGCAACACTTTTTTGCCCTGGACCCAGACCAAAGCCACCGTGCAAGGTTCTTCTCTCAGCAGCTCTATCCCGATATACATGGCTTCCCTACAGAAATCGTAACAAGAGACCAGGGAAAAGGCAGAGTGTTAAAGGAATCAACATAGTCCGCAAACTCATGCAAAAATATGGCAGCCGATATACTTGAGTTGTAAGACACTAGCAAAAATCAGCTCCACTGTACCTTTTTTTTTTTGGGGGGGGGCGTGGGCAGGGGGAGGTGAAACAAAAAAGATAAGGACAGTTAAGCTGGGGTATAACTCCTATAAAAAAAAAAGCTGGGGCATAACTATATGAACTGAACCTCCAATCTGGATACAAAGATGCTAGTGTGCGATGACCATTAGGCATTCGCCTAGCAACATAAATGGTATTTGTATTAAATTAATTTTTGAAGGGGCAAATTAGGCAAAAGGGTACTTATGAAGATTAGATATTTTCACATGAAACTTCAGAATGCTTACTTTATGTCATCTTACTTAGTGGTGTAAACTAGACGTGCTGACAAGCTACTTGAGTTTGACTAAAAATATCTCAATTTCGATTCAATCATTTTTTTAGTCAAGTTCAAGTAGCTCAAGCTATTGAGTAAACCCAAATAGAATATGGACTCGAGTAGTTTGTGAACCTAATCGACTTTTTTTACTTTTAAATAATGTTAAAAAATCTCAAACTCGAACTCAAAAACAAATTCACACATCACTAATTGAGTTTGAAGTTGAGCATGAGAATCAAGCTAACTTTTACATGTAAACGAGCAACTAAGCCTAATGGAGAGGGCTTGAGTCATTCAACTTTTATTTCACGTTGAGCTTGAGTTTTAAAAGTGAGAATCGAGCTCAAGTCAAACTCCAGGCCTTAAATTTTGAGGGAAGCTCAAGATTCTCATGGCTTATGCTCGGCTTGGCTTAATTACACTCCGAATCATACTCTATTCTGCTTCAATTGTGTCACAAATTCTTTCACTGTTAATTTTGTATACTTTCCCATTAACTTCTTGTTTTCAATTGTATTCTTCACATGCATAATGACAGCTAAAGAACTTGGGGAGTTTTAACTTCTTGGAAGTAAACGCTACCTTCAAAGATGTAGAGGGCTGATCTGACAATATAGAAAAATCTTTGAAGCCTTTCTCTTCAGTTACTTCTGATTTATGTTTTTGTCTCGATTTAAACTGGAGGGAAGCTTTCTTATTGACTAATAAATCAGGGAAGCCCCAGTCTTTTGTTGGAACAGAAGAATCATATGTTGACAAGGAAGCCAAGTACCTTGGACTTGGAGTTCGCAATCTGTACACTTGTCCTGAAATAAGTAACATGGGAGGGGGATAAACATACAAAATAGAATCATTAACACTAGATCTTGCAAAGAGCGTTGTTTTAGAAAAAGATATATTTTCCTTGCTTCCTCCAGATCAAAACCAAGAATGACGCTTCTAAAGAAGTGGCAGATGCAAACCTGTTCTAACTCGTACCAGATCAAGATGAACTTCACATATAGGAGCAGTTTTCAATAAACCGCCACCAGAAGGCACAGAAGGGTGAACTTTAGCTGACGGTTTTACCAGCCGACCTATCAGTCTGGCCACCTGATTTTTTCCATCTTGTTTTGGTCTTGTCACCATACTCCAGTCCCATAACTCGACAACTGGGAATTCTGGCACGGGCTCTTCTTCGCAATGTGTGACTTGACCGTATTGGGCTCGCCAGTTTTCTTCATCCCATGTATCACCTGAATGAAAATTTTCCAGATGTTGATTTAGACGTGTGAAATTTATCCCACAAGGATCCTTTAAGTGGTAAACTTTGAAGGCAAAACTGAAACGGATGTTTATTTCAAACAGATAGGAAATCAGTCAAATGATTAACAATAGAAACATTGTCGCAAGACCTTCATATGGAACAACTTCACTTGAATCAGCAAAACCATGGTTTTCCTCAGGGATCCATTCACCCTCTTCCAATTCGTACATTTCATCATTTCCTGCCCCTCAACAAAACACCATCACATCACCTTCAGAACATAACAAACTTTTTACAGTCATCTTCAGGACATAGAAACTTTTAGAAAAAAAATGAAGAAAGAATATATGACAGACCATCAGAAGGAAATGTAAACTTCTCGTTGTCGTCTGTTTCCAAAGAAGTATTTGCATCAGCAGCAGAATCGACAGGTAAGTTATACCCAGAAAGATAAAGGTCAATGAGTGTGTCTTCTAACCTGAACCCAGATGTTACCATCATAAAAGAAAATATGTAATCAACTGTTGAACCAAGATACAAGATACAAAATGTCGGAAATAGCATACCATTCTGATGGTGGTGGTGGGTGTTCAGACCCTTGAATACCGGTGTACTCCATCAAATCTGGTAATCAGAAGTACCATGAATTGATTTAAAGCACTACAGTGAACGAGAATCCAAGCAATAGAACATTATTTACAGACGTAAATCGAATTTTCGAGATGATATTTTGCAATAATGAATATATGACCCAGATTCATAGATTGTGATGATCAACAGAAAACTATTCATTCAACCATCATGCAAACATTCTGCATCATAATATTGAGTAAAAGAATTACCTGCAGCAGTAGATTCATCAGCAATATTGATGGTAGTATTGTGAGGATCTACTTCATTGCCCTGAGATGAAGAGTGATACTCGGGACCATTAGACGCAGTGGCATCTGGCTCATTTAAAACAGAATCACCAGCCATAGCTCCTTCCTGTAAAAGCATTTCACAATCAATAACCTAAACTTGAAGGCGTACCAAACATAGGATCAATCAACGTGATAATAGCGGAGCAAAAGTAAATGACGGCAATAGCTTAACTACCTTGTCCAAGAGCACATAATTACCATTCTCAAATGTGTAATAGAGACCATCCCTACTGCTATAGTACCATCCAGCATCAGGATCATGGTAAAATCCACTACTGCAAAAGTACGGTACCAAAATGAACAACACATTGAGAGAAATAGAGGGGGGGACAAAGCCCAACTAGTAACATATTGCAATTGGATTACAGTTACTAAAGTGAAAGAAAAAAAATCTACAATTAATTCCTCGAATATAGCAATTAATTTCATTACCAGCAAGAAGACATTCGGAAGAATCAATACTTGAAATTTATAAATTTAACAAATATAAGTACAAGAAATAAATAAAAAAAAGAACCTGGCATGGAAGTAGAGACGAGTTTGAGGATCCCAAACAAAAGAGCAATCGTTGCTCCTCTGCAACTCCACCTCGGAGGAATCAGCCATTGTGTTATCACTTTCTTTGTCCTTCCTTTTCATGTAGTTTGATGAAGAAATTGAAATTATACAATATGAAAATTGAGGGGTGTTTTGAGGAATTTGAGAAACAAAGACCGGGAAACCCCAACAAATAATTCTATTGATCAAACTGGAAAATTTATCAATCTGGAACCAAAATTAAGGAAATGAAAAATCAATCTTAATTCTTATAAAAAATTTTGGGTTTCTGAATTGAAGTGAACCCGAAGAGCCACTGTATTTATGGACTGAGCCCACTGTCTCCGCTCTTCGATTGAGGTAGGAACTAGGGGCTGAACTTGTTTATGAGTTGGGTTTGATCTGATCCAGTTTCAAACGGTTTTTAAGCTTAACCTTGAGTTTGGTTTACATCAGCCCGTAGGCCTGTTTTATTATTCATTTACTTTAATTTTATTTTTAAAAAGAAAAGGATATTAGAATATATTTTTGGATAAATTATAAAAATGGTCCCTAAACTATAAATAACTACTTATTTAAGTATCTTAACTAATAAAAGTTACAAAATGGCCCAAATATTGTTTTGTTGAGTCCCCTGACTATTAAAAGTTACAAAATAGTTACTCAAATATTCATATGTTTCAAACTCGTCATTCTTAGTTAAAAAAATTGATGGTCGTTTGAATTGGACGTTAACCTACTGACTGGAATATAATAAAATTATATTTTGATGATGACTACTGACACCGCCGTTACTTTCTAGCAATGGATCGATGACATAATGTTTTAAGCATTAGCTCGACGACAGAATATAAACCGAGAATCGATCCATAAAATATAACTCAAATAATTCTAAGATCAAATTTTATCATACTCTAATCAAACATATTAACATATAGATCAAACCTTAATCATTTGTTGAGTAAAAATATTCATCTAATCCTTTTATTTCAAAATAAAAATGGAAGGTTAAAGTGGTCTAAAAGAGTAGAAGTCAAAATAATTTATTAATCAAAGCGTTAAAATACATTTTTATTGGATACCACCCAACACCTAAGAAAAAAAAAGACGAGGACATTTTGGTAATTGGGGTGGAATTTCTTGTCCGGAGAAGTAAAACAAGAACCAAGACTTTAAGTAGCAGCAAAATGGTTGTAGTGTGCAAATTTGGAGAACTCTCCCCAAGAAGTCCGTTACATAGTTAAACGCTTCTCAAATCTGATTTCTCTAGTCTTCGATTATGGCTTTTCAAGGGAAGAAACTCATCAACAATCCCAATGGTATTAATACTATTTCCTCTTTCGCCTCATACTTTCTGGGTTTTGTTTTCCGACCAAAAACCCACAATATTAATTTATTTATCTTTTCATTCACTTGTCTTCCTTTTTTTTATCTCTTTATTCTTCTTTTTTAAAGTTAAGGATGGTATTGTCTGGCATGTGCTCATTTCATGTTTATTTGTGCTCGTATTGGGAAAGTTTTGGATTTTTTTTATTGTTTTTGTGCTTTGCCCTCTAATTAGCGGTTAGACAATGGTTGATATATGTAATTTCTGTATTTTGTTTTGATAGTAGTTATTGGTTGTTTTTGTACTTACCTTCATTTGATCTGACTAAATGAAGCAAGGCTATTGCTAAAGTAGGGGAAACAAAGAAGTCACCGTTTCGTTTCCTAGGTTTTATGCATCGATTGCACTGTGTTAGGGCCAAAATCAAGATTTATTTACTCTTGTTTCTTAAATGCATTACTTTACTATGCTCTTTTTCACCATCGAATTCCCGGTTCTAGTTTTATGCTTTATAAAAAACTATTTTGAAGTTCTCTTGTTATGGTGGTGGCAGATGTGGTGACTGAATTCATTGAGGGTCTTGTGGAAACATATCCAGAACTCCAGTACTTAGATGGTTTCCCGGAGGTGATTTTGTTTTCTGCTTTGCTTATTTTTCAGTTGTGAATTAGACTTCACAAAAAACAAATTGGTAACTTGTTCGTTTGCAGGTGAAAGTTGTTATTCGTGCTGATGCATCAGGCACAACATATGACAAGGTTGCAGTCATATCAGGTTCAAACCCTGCAAAGCTGCTAACACTTGATATCTGTATTTGTCTGCTCAAAATTGAGATTCTATACTTTGTTACCTTTACATTCATTTTAGCTATGATGAATTCGAGACAGCTTTTAAAGCTTAAGTGACCTTTTGGCTTTTGTGTTTCTACTGATTTTTACAACCAATTAGTTTGATATGCCCTTTGTTAGGCAATTTTGGGGGTCAAAGTTGTTTCCCTTAGCATGTATGCTCAAAATGTTTCTCTCTGATCTTAACAAAATTTTAGTAATTACTTTGACTTTCCAGGACCCATTATAGATTAGTTACTGTGCATCATTGGACATAAACTTTGGGTGCATGCATGTTTCTTTCTTTTTTTTACTAGTCTCGACAGTTTTTTGAAATTTGTTTTCTCCCATTTCGTCACTCATGTTTTACATTTATGGTTTTTGTTTATGTCAATGGGTCTTTCTGTCTGAACATGTTACATCTTGTTTACTTATAGGTTGTATTTAGAAAGACAATAATTAAAATAGAAAGAAAAAAAAGTATATTGAGTTTTTTGCCTCAGGAAATGGTGGTCATGACAAGTGATATTGGGCATATAAAATTGGAACAATTATTGGCTAATTTTATTTGATATAATTTGAAACATAGGAGGGGGAAGTGGGCATGAACCTGCACATGCTGGATATGTGGGAGAAGGGATGCTGACAGCTGCCATTTGTGGAGATGTTTTTGCTTCTCCTTCAGTTGATTCAATTTTAGCAGTATGCTTTCTATTCCCCCCTCTTTTTGATGGTTTAGGGGGAGATGTACTTTCCTGGTTTTTATCATTAACGTCTTCCTGTTTGTGACTGACATTATTTCATCAGGGCATTCGAGCTGTTACTGGTCCTATGGGATGCCTTCTGATAGTGAAGGTATTTATTTTCCTAATTAATGAAGTTATAGGTTTATATGATATTGATTATTCTGTTGGGGTATTTACTGCTATCATGATGTGTGCTTTAATTTTTTTCCTGCTTTAGAAGATATCTTCTTTTATTGTCCTCAACCCCACCAACCCAGCCTAAATAAGAAGGCGAACAGGGTGTGGGAATGGGGATGGTGCTGATTGGAAGAGGTAAGTAAAATGAAAAACCTTTGTAGACTCGCTAATATAAAGGTTAAGATCATGTTTAAGAATGGTGTATATTACTGGTAATATTTCTTTGCTCTAATTCATGGTATAATCTGGATGTGGACAGAATTATACTGGTGACCGTTTGAATTTCGGGTTGGCTGCTGAGCAAGCAAGGTCTGAAGGTTATAAAATAGAAGTATGTGTTCAAGCTATAATTTTTTTTAAAAGGGACATTTTATTTCTTTGAATGTCCAAAACAGTATGAGTGAGAAGAAAATTAATAGATTGACACAATTCCTTCCCTTTGCAGACTGTAATTGTTGGAGATGATTGTGCATTACCTCCACCTCGAGGCATTTCTGGACGAAGAGGTTTGGCAGGAACTATTCTTGTTCATAAGGTTCTCTCTCTTCTGCTGTTTGACAGAAGTTAAACTGTACTCTATATTTAGCAAAGTGCCTTTTTTGTCCTCTTACAAATCTTATTTGCACTGAAATTTTTGCAATTGTTCCTCTTCCCACTTATCGAATGCAGGTTGCTGGAGCTGCAGCTGCAGCTGGCCTTTCTCTTGCTGATGTTGCTTCTGAGGCACAACGTGCATCTGAGATGGTTGGAACCATGGGCGTCGCATTATCTGTTTGCACGCTGCCTGGTCAGGTTACTTCTGATCGCTTGGGCCCAGGAAAGATGGAACTTGGTCTGGGAATTGTGAGTTACTTTATACTTGTATTTCTGCAGAACCTAGTGGAATTAGTTCTCTTTTTTACTTTATTGTTCGATCACTTTAAGACATTAGCTCTATACTCTTGGCCTATGACTGAAGTCTGACACTATGCTTCTCTTTGTTATCTAATTTGTTTTCTACTTCAAAGCTTATGTTGAGCTAAGATTTGTTGTTCTTTCAGCATGGGGAACCTGGTGCTGCTGTGGCAGACCTCCAGCCTGTGGATGTGGTGGTTTCTCATGTTCTTAATCAAATATTGTCATTGGTATGTTCCCCTTGGGGAGCACCAGCTTATCCTTTTTATCCCCTTGCCATCTTTCATTACCTTTATGGAAAACATAATTTATGCTATGTGCATCACATTCAACTAATGCTTGTGGTATCTGATATTTACTGTTTTCTATTGCAAGGAAAATAGCCTTGCATTTTTCTCCAAGATTTTGATGTGATACTTTTAAATCTTATTTGGCTTTCTTTATCTCTCTCTCTCATAGATGAAGGTACAGACATATGCCTGATATCACTAGAAACTATTGAATTTTTATTTTGGATTGAATTGATACGTGTGTGTGTGTATTTCTATTTGGTCTTAATGAGCCTTTCCCTTTCCAATTTGGCTCAATTAAGTCGCAATTATTCGTGATACAGGGCTTGCTGCTCAATCATGTTAATGTGGTAATATAAATATGGCATAGATCACTATAGAAGACTGTTAAAGAACTACTCATGACAATTTCTTCCTAATTGAATGATGTAAATTGTGATGTATATTCTATATTAAACATACGATAAAAACCTTATTACAAATTTAATATCAGTAGAAATTATTTAAGTTTTATTTTGGGTTGAATTAATATGAGTGTGTGTAGTTCTATTTGTTCTTGTTGAGCTTTTCCCTTTTCAATTTAGATCAATTAAGTCCAATTATTCGTGATACAAGGCTTGCTGCTCAATCATGTTGATGTTGTAAGTTAAATACGGCATAGATCACCATAGAAGACTGTTAAAGAACTACTCGTGATAATTTCTTCGTAATTGAATGATGTAAATTGCGATCCTATATTAAAAATACAATAAAAAGCTTATTATAAATTGAAAAGAAATAAAAATCCCAGATTTCTCTCTCTGGCCTGATTCTATTATTCTCTTCAGTCTTCACCGGCAATACTTAGATTCCGAAGGCTATTCAATTTGGGGATTACATTAGGTTCAAAATGTTGTAATGCGCTGCCTTATGTGGGCCATTCGGCCATATCTCATATAGTTTGAAGAAAACCATGTATCTTCTCAAGAGTCAAAGCTGTTGCTATTATTATTTATTATTTAAGGTTGGTTTCTGTGGCACGTCATCTTTTTACCTTTTCTATTGTGGTTGGCGATACAAAGGGCATCCTTGACTTTGATAAATGAAGCTTAGCAGATCAGGATATTGCCATTAATGTTTGATCTTCCATGAACACAATCACCCGCTGTGTGTAGCTCTTTTCTGTTTTACTCATTGCATCAACCTAGCTCTGCTACCTCTTTTTCCCTCTTCAATATATTATTTCATCTCACAACTTTATCATCTAGATACATTAAATTTTATTTATGTAATCTTTCAGGAGACAAACTATGTTCCAATTACACGAGGCAATAGAGTGGTGCTTATGATTAATGGGTATGTATGTATATTAAATTTATTTTCTGCTGTTGATTTTTTTCTCTGCTTTTGTTTTGAGGGCCAGAGGGTGTTTTCTAATCAGTTAGGTTTTGGGGCTTGAAATCTGAGTCCAGTCTGGTTCTGATATTTCAATTTCTACCTTTGACTAGGAAATAGACTAGAGTTTCATAGAAAATAACTATATTCCTTGGCGTTGATGGAAAGAAGAGACTAAGGGTGCGTTTGGTTCACGGAATGTAAGATTACCAGTGGAAATAAAAGATTACCAGGGAATAGGATTACTGGGAATGTTGTATTTTGTGTTTGGTTGGTTTAGCAGGAATGTAAGATTACCGTGTTTGGTTAAAAGAATAAAAGATTATTGGAATGTATATTTGACCAATTTGTCTTTATTATATATTTGTATAATATTACAAATTGTAAAATATTTATATATTTTCTTTAAAAAATTAAATTCATAATATTTATATAATTTTTTTACAAAATTAAAAATATAAAAAATGTTTAATGAAAGGGTAAAAAAAATTTAACCCCTGAATTTTAAATAAAATTTTAATTATTGATTTTTTTTTTGTAAATTTAAAATAATTTAAGGATAAATTTGTAATTTAACCTTCGTAGAATTTTTATTATTCAATGACAGAAGAATGATATTTTTGAAAAAAAATCAAAATTTAAGGGCATTTTAGTCCAAAATACCGGTAATGTTACAATACCTAAGGGAAGGGAGGTAATGACATTCCTGGTAATATACTCCAAAAAATCTACTATTGGTAATAAAACATTACCGGGAATGAGATTCCCGGCCAACCAAACATGGGGATGTGGGATTCCCATCCCATGGGAATCTCACAATACTAAAACCAAACACCCCCTAAGAGGTAGAGGGAAAAGATGAGGATGGAGGAGTATGGAGTTAAGCTAGAAATAATAAATTCAGTCATAACATGTTCACAGTATATGTTGTGGATGCAAGTATGTTTTGGCCTTTAGCCTGGTAGGAGTTGCTTGGGCAATTTTCTAACCTTATATTTGGGGTTTGTTTGTTTTATTGGAAACAGTTTCTGGAAATTGTTTACAGCATTTATATGTTTTTATTTTCTAAAAAATTGTTTGGTTAATGGAAAATGAACTTCATAGCAATGGAAAATTAAAATTTTTGTAGGAAAATTTTGAAAGCTGAAGAAAATAAAAAATATTAATCTTCTAAATCTAGGGATCAATCAATCCCTTCTAAGCAAAACACTGAAGGACTGATCCCTAAGAATGGAAGCTAAAGACAAAAAAGAAGGTAGGGATCAATCCTTTCTATATCAATCCAGTTTTTTTCAGATACAGCTAAACAATGAAAATATTTGACACACAATCTTCTCAACAAATAAAATATAAACTTTTTCTAGAAATAAGTTCATTTCTTTCAGAAATCATTTTCCAAAATCCGTTTTCCGCGAAACAAATGGATCCTTATCACATTTTATCCTAGAATGGATGTTAGGTCAGAAGTATTAAAATAACTGAATATATGAACTGTTAGATTAGTTACAAGCTAGAAATGGGTATGGCATGATACAGACAGAACACTAAAGAATACTCTTCTTGTGTATTTCTTATCGTAAAACAGTTTTTGCCATGATGCAATATTGATTTGTTTATTTTATTTTGGAAATGGTCTTTATTATTTGGTCAAAATGCAGTTAGTTTTGGCTCTAATGACCTAAAGCCATTACCTTTTTGCTTGATTTTAATTTCAGTGGTGGGAAATGCTATCAAAGCTTGCAGACTGAAATATCTAATTGAACCAAATTTTACCTCAGAATATATTGTCGTTATCTATTTGGCATATAAAGACATATAGAGCCAAAATATAAATACCTTCAGACAATATCTTCGTCATTTTGTCCAGCACTGTTGCTTCAGTTCCTATCAGTATCTCTCTCTCTGCTTTCTCCCAGTTTTTGTTCATGTTGCCAATTTCCCTTGATATCCTTTAGAGATTCATCAATTTCTTGTAATCATTGAAGTTTTAGATTGTAGTAGCTGATAATGGTGGATGATCAATGTTGTGGACTGGTGAGTTTACTTTTATAATCATTAGGAATACTATGTCCTCACCATGTATTTCCCAGACCCCTACCATGTAGGGAGTCCAAATATATTTAATTTTCTACTGTGATTTTTCATGTATAACATGTATCTGGCCATGTTGTAGGCGTGTCTTTGTTGGACATGGCAATGTAAGGGGGCTTGCCTTGTTTTGTTTTATGGATTGGAAGAATACATTGGTATTTTATTTTATTTATTTTGAGAAGTGCACATTTGTTTTGAGTCAGATATAGATCCCTGGTTTTCCTAATCCCAGTAGGACTAGCTTTCTTAATCCAATTAGGACTTTAAGAAATACTGAAGATTATAAATTGAAAACTAATGAGCTTAAAATAAAACCCAGTAGGATGAGGAGAATCTGAACTAAGATCCAAGGCATCATATACTAGAAATTTTAACAATATTCTAACCTCCCCCCCCCCCCCCGAGGCCCCTTCTCTCTATCTCTAAATTAGCCTAGTTAACATATAATAGCTTGAATAGCTAAAAATTACTGAATATTTTAAATTTACCCCTTATAGTATTAGTACGACAAAGTAACAAAGAATAACCAAACTAGTTTAATTCCATTCAAAAGGTGGTGAGATGCGAGACTAAGTATATTATGACATCGTGTGATGGATTAACTCTCTCTCTAAACTTACTGTTTAGTCATTATTTGATCCAAATTATTCATGTAGATGTGCCAACATTGCTTTAGAAATGTCAAATAATTCACACGGTTAAAATCTATTAGTGCAGACTGTATTCTTGTGAGTTTTACACGGGTTGTTAAGTATATACAGACTTATCCAAATTGACGTTGCTCCTATTCTTTGATTTAATGTTCTTTTTGACTTTTTAAATAATTTGCATTAACAGTGACTGAGATTTTCCCTTTTTTAAGTAAAGACTCAATTGTGACTGTCACAATGTTGTAGTTAATACTTCGCAGCATATCATGTACTTAATGTGCTTTCTTGTCAGCTAGTTCTTAGAACTTCTAAGCTTCTAAAATCTCCGCTTTGGATAGGCTGAAAAATGTTAAACTTTCTGACTCTTTGGATGATTGTTTGCTGTGGATTGGGCCGGATGTGGGGTTGTTTTCTGTTAAAGCATGCAGAAAAGTTCTCTCTAGATTTAATGATGAAACGTTTCAATGGAGCAAATGTGTTTGGTTGGGATTAGTTCCTCCTAGAGTAGAAGTTTTCCTTTGGCAATTGTCTCACCAAAAAGTTGCGGTTAGAGTTGAATTGTTGAGAAGAGGGGTTCCTTTAGGGGATAACATTCTATGCCCTCTATGTAATCAAGGGAATGAATCAATCCAGCATCTCTTTATTTCATGTCAAGTTACGTGGGAACTGTGGAATAAGGTTATAGGGTACTGGGGTATTCGGCTTGCTCTTCCGCAAGACCCTCCATCTCTGCTCAGTTCCTGGGCTGATATGAATCCTAAATTTGCTATGTGGAAGTTTATTCCGGGGGTTGTTTTTTGGTCAATCTAGAAGATGAGAAATGAGATAATCTTTGAAAAGAAAGAGTTGGATAGATTATCATTGTTTTTCACGGTTCGGTTAAGGTTAGCCAAATGGTATATAGCAAAGTATCCCCTAATCCCTATTCAGGTGGATTCTTTAATTGTTGATCCTTCTATGGTGGATAAACTAACAGTGTTCAATGTCCTGAACAGAGTGGGGAATTGCTGGAGTCCCCCTCCAGTGGATTTTTTTAAGATGAATGTGGATGGGGCTGTTAGTTCGGTTGGAATGAATGTTGGAATAGGGGGTATTCTTAGAGATTGGAATCGGACTACACTTATCTCTTTTTTTTGAAACTGTCGGTCCTACTTATTATTGAAAGTGATTCAAAGATAGCAGTGAATTGGATAAAAGATCAGCTATAGCCCCTGCTTTTCTGTCAAATTATGTCAAGGAAATTGCTTTTACTGTTTCTACTAAACAGGTTATTGTTAGGTGGATTCCTAGAGGGTGTAACTATGAGGCTGATAAGCTAGCAAAGGAAGGAATTGGGTGATTAATATCGTTGTTTTGGTTTGTTTGTAAGTCTTACAGGAAAGGTCCTATAGGAGTGTTTTATGTATTATGTACTGTGCAAGATTGGTTTTAAGTTTTATGTAATTGGTTTATTATCTATAAATTGATGCACTCTTTTCCTCCTTCCACTAGTTGGTTCTAGCCTTAGGGCAGAGAACTACTAAGAGGGAGGTTTTTAATGAGGCATCCTATTCCTATCAAAAAAAAAAATTATTATTTTAGAAGCTTTTGAGTTAATAAATTAGGTTATTTAAAAAAGCTCAGAGCTGAACTCAATTATTATTAATAAGTCAATTTAGGCTCATTTGTTTAGCAAATTGGTTTCAAATTTGGTAAGAACTTAAACAAAGAGCTCAATCACCAAAGTTCACGCTTAATAAAAGCTTGAGCTTGATGAATGCTTGGTTATATTCCTAATTTAGGTCATTTTGCCGCATTCATTCACCGCTTTGTGTTAATATTCTGTGTTATTTTTGTCCTAGTCTATTCAATTTTTTTTATTTTGCTGTTGTTACTATAATGATAAAGATCTATTGACTTGCAGCTTAGGTGCCACTCCTGTGATGGAACTTATGATTGCTGCTGGAAAGACTGTCCCTAAGCTGCAGCTTGAATTTGGACTAGCTGTTGAAAGAGTGTATACAGGGTCATTTATGACCTCTCTTGATATGGCAGGTTAGTTTTTGATATAAGATAATTCTCTTTTTGTTGCAACTAGCAAGTATTGCTCATTATCAGTACAATGTTTCTTTCAGGATTTTCGATCTCTATAATGAAGGCAGATCAAAATCTGTTGCAACGGCTGGATGCTCCCACAAAGGCTCCTCATTGGCCTGTTGGTTCTTCTGGTCTGTCAATTTGTTAGAGTAGTGATACTTGTTTATTTTTCCTCTTTTCACTTGTCTATAAGATGCTTTAGGAAGAAATGTGTGGAATTTAACATCATATATTGCATCGCACATTAATGATCTAAATTGAACTATTATGAAGAATATAATCTCAACATTAAATATAATGATTAGAACAGTTAACCATTTTATATTGAAAATTTAAAATTAAGTTCCCTGTTTTCTTTTAGGTAATCGCCCACCTGGCAAGATTCCTGTTCCGTTGCCACCATCTCGTTCAACAAAGAGTGAGGAGGTAAGTTCCTGGAATTAATTACTTTAAAAGACTATTAGGAATGGATCTGTCATTTGTTATAAAAGTTTAACCTAATTAAATGTTACATTTAAAGTAAATCAAAATCTCATTCATGCAGAATGTAGATAGTAGGTTTTAGTTGCTGTCACTGGATTTTGATTTGTCGATGTTACAATTGATAGATATAGATGATGGCTAATCAATTGCACAATATTGTACTTGCCAGACAGGTTACGAAAATATTTTAGCAGCACTGCTATCAATAGAAGAGTATGTAATGACATCATATTTAAGCACTTGTGCAAAAAATAATGTAAAGTTTAATTACTGATTTTTGTCTTCTGTTGATGAATACAAATTGGTCAGAGGTGCCTTGTTCTCATTGTCCCTGAATAACAAAAAGTAATATGGGTTACATAAATTGTCTAAGTAAAAGCTCATATGGTCAAATAAATTGTCCAAGTAATGTGAATAGTAGGCAGGGGTTGTTAATATTGTTAAATGAGTTTTTTTGGTACATGAAATTATTCATGCCTTGTTGGGTATGAGAAAAAGATAGTTGTTGTTGACCGTCATCTTACTTCATTAATGTTTGTCCTGGTAGTCATTAAGTCGGCCACTGCAGCTTAGTGAACAGGGCCGCATTCTTGAAGTGGCTATTGAAGCAGCAGTAAATTCAGTAATCGATATGAGGGATAGTTTGAATGACTGGGATAGCAAAGTTGGTGATGGTGACTGTGGGTCAACAGTAAGTTGTGTACTCGAACCGTCTTAATTATCATTTTGACTTTTGGTTCGCAGTTTATTGTACTTATACATGATTAACTTGCTTTTGCAGATGTACAGAGGTGCAACAGCAATCCTTGATGATATGAAAAAATAGTATGCACTTTGTCCATTATTTTTATGTTTTCTTTTGTAACACAGCTAGGGAAATTCTCCTAGCATAGTAGCTTTGGCAATCCCATGCCAGATTATCAAGGCATTTACTTATGCAAGCTGTTTGCTACCATAGTAATTGGTTTTATGTTTGCTAGGTACCTCTAGCTTTTTGATGAAGTGTCGTTGGTTTTGATGAGTCATTATCTTTAGACATGTAGGAAGGGGTATATTTATCTTATTTATATTGCTTTCCTGTAGTACCGAGTATAATATATTATTTTAAGACTCATCTTCCGATGTGGGGTTTGCCAAGGCCTGCATATAGATATTTTTCTTGTTCATAGAGCTCTACTTGATTTCACTTTATTATACACTTTGTATTGGTGTCATTGCAATTGCAAGAAGAATGCCCATAATTTTGGAAAGGATATTTCTGATAGGAGATGTTTTAATGTATAAAACTGTTCTAGTCAAACATGTCACTGGGGTTTGGAGCATGTAACGTTATATCTTTGTTTGTTAGCTCAGGTGTAATTCGTTTTTCCTCCAGTATCATTTCTGCATTGATTTGCTAGTGTAATGTATTGATTGATAGCTGTCAGCTTTAGTTCTGTGATTTTAAAATTTTTATATGAAACAACCCCCCCCCGGTGATATTATCATTGCAATATATATTTTCCTTGTATATTTGAATCTTACTTGATGAATCATCTTCATCTGTCCCAGTTATCCTCTGAATGATGCTGCAGAAACAGTGAATGAAATTGGGTCGTCTGTGAGTAGAGCTATGGGAGGAACAAGTGGAGTCTTGTAATTTATTTGCCTGTTATCTGATTGATTTATACTTTCAGATATAACTAGGAATATAAAACACTTGACATTTCTCTTTGAACAGATATAATATATTTTGTAAGGCAGCATATGCAAAGTTGAAAGCTAACCCAGATTCAGCTGTCACGGCAAAGCAATGTGAGATGATGCTCTTCATCTGAAACAAATTTTCATTTGACATAGTCTTACCCGACATTGTATTTCAGGGGCTGAAGCACTTGAAGCTGCCATTGCTGCAGTCAGTAAATATGGTGGGGCTAGTGCTGGTTATCGCACATTATTGGATGCCCTTATTCCTGCATCAGCAGTTCTTAAGGAGGTAAATATAGATCCACTGCCATTTTGCTATTCTTGTTGATGCGGTCCTAGATTTCAGGCTGATATTCTGTTATGCAAGCAGAGATTAAGTGCTGGTGATGATCCTTGTACTGCATTTGTTCTTTCGTCTGAAGCAGCATCAGCGGGAGCTGAATCAACTAAAGACATGGCGGCACAGGTTCTGAATCATCATCTTGCCTTGTCCTTGTTTAGTATCTAGGATTTTGATTTCATCTGTTGATGGGTAGAAAACTTTATTAGAGTAAGCTGATGTTGGGATGTTGCAGGCGGGGAGGTCAAGCTATGTGTCGGCGGCTATACTTGCAACAGTTCCAGATCCAGGTGCGATGGCAGCGGCAGCGTGGTATAGAGCAGCTGCTTTGGCTGTGAAGGCTAAATATGAAAGAGCTTCGTGAATTCATTCTGCCTTTCGGTTACTAATTGGCTTTCCGCTTATGCTTTTAATTTTTTTTGGGGTGCGTCAAGCTGAGAGAGCCAGCTTCATAGGCATACATACATACACAAAATACATGATTGAATTTTAAAACCTTTCCAAAATGTAAACCTAATCTGATATGGACCAGTCCCATTGATCCAATTGTTTAAACAAATTTTGAAATTTTAAATTAAATATGGATCAAATTAAGACCGATCAATAATTATATCAATTTACTGAACTAAATAAAAATTAGGTTCAAATTGATAAAATGGATAAGTAATGAGGGTTAGATGTATAATTTTATCAGTTTGTTAATTGTCATGTCAATTTCTATGTCAAGTGTTGACAATGGGGGACTGAATTGATATTATTGATATAGTTAAGTGGTTTGATTGATGAAATTAAAAGATTAATGGTCGGTTTAAATTTCTTTCATAAGTATATGATGACAAGTATAATTTATCCTAGAAAGTCGTTATTAATAAAATGCTTTCTACAATATACTCTGATTTATATATCGCTACATTTTGTGTTTTTGTTAGAAACAGTCCCAAACTATTAATGTTCTATGTTAGTGTAACCCTCAAGACCTAATATTTTTCAACTCTTGCTTCCAAAAGAAAGTCATTTTAATGTGACAATCATATTATCGTCTTGTTAATTATGTCATCGTTACTTTGAAACAGAATAATATAATTAATGTAAAATTAAAATTCAATATTATAATTAACAACAACAATAAGAACAATAACAAAGACAACAAATGACAGTAAAGACGATAACGCCAGCAACAACAACAACAACAGTAGCAATAGTGACAACAGTAGAGCAACGACAACGATGACAGCAACAACGACGATAGTAGCGATAGCGACGACAGCAATGATGATGATAGCAGCGACAGCGACAACAACGACAGTAGCGACATCAATGACAACGACGACAACAACGATGGTAGCGATAACGACGACAACAACGATGGCAGTGACAACGATGACAGTAACGAAAATAAAGATATCAACATCAGCGACGCCAGCAGGGACAACAATGATAGTGACGACAAGATAACAACAACAATAACAAAAGCAACGACAACGGCGACATCGACGAAAAAGACTGACAATTTATTTTGGGTTGTCAAATTTAGAAATTATATGAAGAATTTTTTTAAGTTGGTGAAAATGAATAATGAGTGTACATTTATGTTTAAAGATGCTAATATTTTAAAAAATATATATATGACACTCCTCATTGTATGCCGGCTCCACTAGTGTATGTAGGGATATGAAACGTTTATTATCAAATTGATGAAAGTATTTGAATATATACTATCTTATATTAACCTCGATTTATAAAAAAAGTAAGGAAAAATTGTAATAATAACAATGTTATATAAAAGGGATATAATGTCAAAATTGACCATCAACATTTGATCTAATAATTATTTCAATCTCTATTCTTTTTTAAAGTACTTTGACCATCAACATTTTATTTTAGATCAAAATGACATCAGATAGAATCATTTTAGATAAATTCACGTAAATTGAATGAAATGCTAATATGTAATTATCACATTTTATCATCTGATTGGTTAAAAATAAGATATCCAAGTACATATTTAAAAGGTTTAAACCCATGAAAAGAAAGAATAAACTTGAACATATAACTAGAGACAGACTCAAAATTTTATGTTGGGGATGAACTTATAAAATTTTAGACTAACTTATAAAATTTTGGAAAGTGAAAATAAATTATCAATAGAAAGTATAAAATTATTTAAAATATATAATAATTTAATTTTTTTTTTACAATAGAACGACTGCCCTCATGTTCATCCCTACACTCCATCAAGACAAGTATTTACTTTTGTTATATTTTGATAAAATATAATACGTATAATATTTAACTGGGGCAGTGGCATAGTTGGCTTATTTCGAAAATTGGGTCGGATAATTTCATCTTTATTGTTATAAGTGACGAATACATAAATTTTTTTATTAGGTGGATCAATATAAATATGATAAAAATTTATTTAACACAATTCATATATAGTTTTAATCTAAAAATATAATAATAAATATTATATTTATAACGAATCTACAAGTATATATCAACTAGGTTAATCTATTTTTTAACATAATTTTTATATATTAATATTTTATTTAAATTATATCTTAATTTTTTTAAAAAAAATTGGGATACGAGGAGGATCACAGTCTAAGTAAGCTCACTTCTAAATACGCTCATATTATTAATTTTTTTGAATTTGTTGGTTTTCTCTTCATTGAATTTAGGGGGAAGGATAGAGAAGAATGCAATAGGGTGGGGCTGATAACGCCACTATGTGTGTTTCCATGAGAGCCATAAATAAAGGCCATGACCATCCATCTCAATAACGCAAAACAAACCCGATCTTCGGAGGAAGTCTTAGGAAAAGAAAGTCCCTACGGTTAGAGATGTATTAGTAGGGTTAGAGATGTATTAGTAGAAAAATGACCAAAGTAAAATCAACATAAAATAGGACATGTATAAGAATCGAAATTTAATGATATTTAGTCTTATTTATTTCTACATATGAGAATAATAATAATTCACTACAAGCGTAAAGATCACGAAGGGTACAAAAATATAATATCACATGTATCCTAAATTTTAGTATCTATATCAAAACTCCAAGTATTCCAAATCACTCTTTCAATATCCTTACAAAACATAGTCTCCAAAAATTGCAAAAAGCACAAAATGATTATATCTCTAAAAAAATAATTATCTCTTATGATTCTAAAAGTTAAGACATACTCTTTTAGTACTCTTCCTTCCTTCCTTTTCTATGTATGAACCCTCTAAATTTAGATATCTTTAATTTTTTACAATACTTCACTAACCATTAATGAAAGGCTACAAGGATATATCACAACGTCATTGAAAATTAGACTCCGACTAGTTTGTGATGTTATCAGTGTAGAAGTTCACATTTGTTCGGATATTAAAACAAATAATTATTTTTAAATTTTAAGTCTTTAATTTTAATTTTAATTTGATTTAAAATACATACCAATGTAATAAATAAATTGAATTTATTTTAAGCTATATTTATTTAAATATTAAATAAGTATTAACTTTTGTTTTCTTTGGATAGATATTATAGCTTTACCGTCTAGCGTTGCAATCACGTCGACCTTTCAAATCCCCTGTCAGCAGTCATATTGGCAAAAACCATCGGTTTCCCACCAGCCTCTGTTGCTCGTGTGCCCTTTGCTGGTCCCCTCATCTTTCCACCTCCCCGATATTAGATGTCGAGGATTATTTCCAAAAGAATCTCCAAAGTTTTAACTTATTCATGGATCGTTCTTTTTGCCTCCCATGACTTTGACATACAATAAAGAATATTTTTAACAATTTCATTGTGACAATATTTTCCATAACTTTTGAGCCCGTTGATAATGATACTGAATCGATTAGATATAACTTTAATGTCTTAACCAAGATTTATTTTGAAATTCTTATAATTGAGTATAAGAATGTCTATTTTGAATTTCTTCACTTGACTAATATCTTCGTGAGTAACATTTAATTTGTCCCAAATCTCATTGGTATTTGAGCAAGAAGAAACCCTAAAATACTCATCCAGGCAAAATGCACAAAAGTGGATGTGTATGACATTTGCATTGAGTTGAACGAGTCTTCGATGTTCATTGCTCCATTTCAAAATTTTCTTTGGCACAAGGTGCTCTCCTTTTATTTAGGGAATATATAATCCATCAATGATAACATCTCAAATTGAGAATCGGTAACTTGAATGAACAACATCATTATATTATTCTAATAAGAGTAATTTACACCATTAAAATAAGGTGGTCTTATAATGAATTGGGAATCTTTAATATAGCGGGAATTGATAGTGGAAGTCATTTTTTGCGGTTTATGAGGAAATTGATAGAGCTCTTTAAAGATTGCCTCAATAGATTGTTAGACCTTTAAATGAGCCAAACTATGATGACAATTGTTAGCTTTTTGATCAATTAAAATATACCAAGAGGGGTGAATTGGACTTTAAAATTTTGTGCGAAAGCAATTTAAAGATAAAAAAAATGCATAATGATTTAGAGCGGTTTAATTTCTAGATCAAGTCTATGTACATTATCTTACCATCCACATTAAAGATTTCTCAAATCCATTAGATTTACATGCCTTTAAGGATAACGTGTAATATTACAAATACCTCAAGGTTTATGCCACAAAACTTGATTACACACCCTCCAAAAGAATAAATACAAACTTAGTAAACAAAAGAAAAATATACAAAGCAAATTATGTTTGCAACAAATAACCTCTCACTCAAATAACACTACAACAATATGAACAATTTAGCTCACAAGTATTTTTACAGATGAATATGAAATAATTAAGTTCTCATAGATTATTTGATGTTGATAATTGCTTTCAATGATGTTCCTTATTGTTATTGAGATGCTTTGTGCTTATTTTTATATATTCTCTATAATTTCTAGTTGTTAAGAGTCGTTGGAGAGACAATAAAGTCGTTACCTATAAAGAAACAACATTTATAGCATAAGGGATCAATTTTTTTAAAACATTTGACCAATTACCATAGAAAGAATAGATCCTTTTATGAAAGGGATCGATTCTTTTATAGGGATTGATCCTTTTAGGATTTCTTAGAAAATGATTAATTATTTTTAAAAGTGGATTGGTCCAATGACTATTGAAATCCAAGGGACCGATCTATTAAACCAAAATTCCTAAGAAACTTGACTTTTAAGTGCAAAAAATGATCGAGTAATTGTTTGAAAAGGTTCATCTAGGTTGGAAAAATTTTAAAACGTCTTTTTCAAGTTAGTTTGACTTTGAATTATTTTTTAAAATTTTAACAAATTCTATTAAATAAAAAATCAAATTTATAATTATTTGTTATATCAAAATATAAGTTCAAAAAGAAAAATTTAGTGACTTTAGTAAAATGGTGAAACTTAGGTGCTAAAGTAATAATAAGGGAAACGTTTAATGACTAAGGATTAATTAGACGATACAATGATTAGTGTGGAGATAAAAAGATGGAGGGGTTGTTGTGGGATTCCACCGTTATCCAAGTTGATGAATAAGATACTTTGGTGGCACATCCGTGTGTTTTAATCCCTGAAAATTTTAAATTAATATATATTTTATATATTTTCATCTTTAAAATTTTAA